CTAAACTTCTGAAACAGTCATCAAGCCCCACCCACAATCAAACGCTTTGCTTCTTTGTTTGTTTGTATTTAAAAACTTTGTGAATACACGTGTTATTTTTTGTCTGTCAGGTTTTTTTCTGTTGTTTTGTTTGTTTATTTGTTTTGTTTGTTTTTGTTTTGTTTTTTTCCAGGCAGGGTTTCTCTGTAGCTTTGGAGCCTGTCCTGGAACTGGCTTGTAGACCAGGCTGGCTTCGAACTCACAAAGATCTGCCTGCCTCTGCCTCCCGAGTGCTGGGATTAAAGGCGTGCGCCACAAGTGCCCTGCTCTGTCAGTTTGTTTTAATTTTAAGTTGGTTTCAAGACCATAGAACCTGAACATTGATTAATTTTTTTTTTTTTTTTTTTGCTGTAACTTGGATGAAAAGAGTTTCTGTGTTGCACACTCAGTCTCAGAGTTAAACTGCTGACTGAGACGCCAATGTGGACTTGCTGTGTGCCTGGAACAGTGCTCAGCTCAGGGGCACCAAATGGATCTGAGACAGGAGCAGCTGCTCCATGCTGAACTGTGCTGACCTCAGGCAGGAACTACCATAACTGCCATAATAACAGCGCAGTTAAGGTTTAGACTGGGCAGGACACAAGCAATACCGTATTACCTGTACATGGTGCAACTTAAGTTTTTAAGAAATGCTTAACATTTTTAAAAAAATGCTCCTGGATAATAAAAAAAAATTACAGATTCACAGTAAAACAGATTCAGACACTGTTGGATGAATGTACGTAGGCTTGGGAGAGAAAAGAAAAAGAATATAAAGTATAAAGTTAATGTCTTAAAAAGAAAACGGTAAAGTCTTTAAAGAGACAGAGTACAGAAGTACAGATAGTTATAGATTAAGAGAAATAAAGAAAAATAAGCCACGTAAAAATGGAAAATTCACAGAGAGTCTGGATTATGTACATTGTGTTTTCTTTAAAATTTTTGACTGTGAAGGAGCTAAGTACAGAGAGACATTTCATTATATGGGCTGCTA